TTAGACTTCAATTGTGAGTTTTGGGTCAACTTCAAATGACCATACCTTTCAGCACATGATGAGTTAAATGTCTCATGACATATAAAATGAAATATCTTTGAATCATCTTTCCAACGCCACCGAGTTTGCTAAATTCTGAGTTCGGATGAGGGAGATATGTCCGTTTGAGTTCACCCTGTCGGGTTAAGGAAATTCATCAGAATTATGGAGGGGTATTTTGATATTTTCCTTACCCCACTTAGTCCACACATTTTTACACCCAAATTAGGGGTCAAATCTGATTAAATTAATTTAGGCTAAAGCCTAAAATGTTTGGAAGGTTAGGGCAAAGTTCAAGGGGAGAAAAGCTTCAAGCGTTCAAGATTCTTGCGATCTATGAGGAATTTCACCAAGGATTTGATCCTTACGAGGTATGTAAGCTTTCATAGTGATGGGTTCATTTACCCTCACGCCAATCATGAGTTTCTTGATTAAATTTCGTCAATGAAAATCCGTGTATTGAGGTTCTTGATGAATTTCTTAGGGATTCGTTCTTCATTCTTTGTAAATAGGGATTTGATGAGTTCTTGAGGCGAGGGTTTTGTGTTTGAGGGTTGTTCTTGAGGAGATTTGAGTAGGTTTTACTTATGTTGGGTTTACAAATCTAAGAAAGTTTGGAAGAAATCAATCGGTTCTAGGTGAATTACGATAAAAAATCAAAAAAGAAAATTCTTCGAGTTTTCTGGGCATAACCTGGGGGGGTGCACCACCAAGGCGCTAAAGGGGCTGACACCCCATGCTTGTATTGTGCCAGAGAGAGGCTTCTGAAGTTTTGGGGCTGGCGGCCCCGCCACTCAGTGCGCTAGGGTCGCCAGGTCTCCTACCCTTCCATCCTTCTTTCCGTGTGCGTTCCCTCGAATCTTACCCATGTTCTCTACTTGAGATCCACACTTAAATCTTCATTAATTGTTGCTTCCAATTGCACACGCAAGTGTACGCGGTCGCACAAGTAATATAGTGGCTCTTAAAAGAACCAGATTATCGAACCCAAAGGACTTGTCAATTAATTATTCTTACTAAATTTTATTAATTCTAAATATTTATGTAAGGGGAGGATTTCAAAGGATGAATATATTAACTAAACTAAAAATAAAGTTAAAATAACTAAAAAGTAATTAACTAAGAAAAGATAGATGTTTACACAATCAATGAATGAATCGATCTAGGATTATAATTTAACTAACAATCATGTTTAGCATCAATTTCATCAACTTATTTGATTATCTAGTTATTGATTCACAGGGTTAAATGTATGATCATGGTCTCCCGACGGCTAATCACCTACGATAAATAACACCCTAACTACATCATTGAGTGGGGATAGGATGAATTAAGTATCTAGCATTTTGATTTCTTCATGTATAGTGACCAAACACGGTTTCTAGGTATATCCCTATCCTAGATACAAATTAACCCTAATTATTTAGAGAAAATCATGATCCTTATATTCCACGTTCTATCCTCCTATTCCTCTCCCAAGTTCAATTCGGACAATATGTTTATTTCAATGGTGATGAAGCATCAAAATAGCAATCACAAGAATATAAGAACAACTAATATGATAAACAAATCATGCCGAACCAAAATCACTAAACAATCATATTGTAAGTAAATATAATCCAAGAACGAGAAGTTTAACTCCACATAGACATAGAGCAATTACAACCCATCATTCAAAGAAAATATGTAAAATAAAATAAAAGAGAAGAAAAGAAGAAACCCTAAATCAAAAGCTAATTTCTACATTCATCCTCCTCTGTTAATAATTATTTTTATGGCCTATTTATAGATGTAGAAAACCCTGAATAAAATAATTGAGTCAAAAACAAATTAGGAACTCAAAACCTAAAAGGAGTTGAATTCCATGTGAACAGTAGCCGACTCCAACACTTCATCGTCTCGCCTTGGATAGTTACCACATGGCACATGTCTAATTCCTTCAAAATTCGCATTTTGCAAAACTTTGTCATATATAAAAAAATATTATTATTATATTAAAGTTAATCTATTAAACTGCCTGATTGATTTCCTTCTTCAATCTTTCATCTTTAATTCTTTTTAGCTCCAAACTTCTTTATTTTTCCATTAATTTAACCCTACAAATAAAATACACTATTAAGAACAATTCATAAAATCCATGCTCAAAAAGGACAAATATAAATAATAAATGTAAGGCAAATAATGATTAAAAATATGTATTTTGGCCTCACATCATTAATCCTTGAGAGATCCTATATATCCAAATCATAATTCTTGAATTCACATTCCAAATTCAAGTAAAGATTGAGGAAGTTTTTGAGTCATTTTTGAGAAGTCTTTTACAATCTTTTAAAACTTTATTTAAGACTTGAGTACTTGAGTATGAGGGTGAGGAGAGTCGAGTTTCTTTTTTCAAAATGATTATAAGGGAACTAAGTATTCCCAAGAGTATATACTTTTACATTTAACATGAGAGGAAACCTTGATTTCCAGATGAGTTCATGAGGAGTTTTCGAGCATAATCTCTTTTAAGAGAACCTTTTGAGTAATAATCTCAAAGAATGAGGATGAGGAAATGTTTTAAAACATATGAGCATGAGTTATATTATTGGGAGTAGTATTGAGTACCGATATGGGGACGAGTTCAGACAACTCAAAGTTCTCATAAACCGTGTATCCCAACGTGGTAAAGGTCATACTTTTTAGATGATTTCTTATTGCTTTTTAAGCATATCTTAGTGGATCCATTTAGTTGAGGATGTCTTATACTCCGGAAAGGTATAGCACAGTTTTGACAGCGTGGGCGAGACGCTGTAACATCACATAGCTCATAGTGATGGTTGTCGGTTAGAGAATCTCCCAAATAAGAGTAAAAGAGTTCTTATTGTATTTTTAAATACATTGAGTTATTATCTACTGTTTGAAAAGTTTTCTTTATAATACATCTTTATTGTTGCTTTTATATTGAGCTGAGTTGAGTATTTCTGAGTTTGAGTATCTTTGAATATCCTTGAGTTGAGTTGAGTTGAGTGAAGATGAGGTGAGTATGTTCTTCCTTCTTATTAGTTCAACCTTATATTTGTGCTTTAGAGTTCCCTTGCGTGCTCGTACATTCCATATACTGACGCCATTTGTCCTGCATCTTTCATGATGCAGATACAAGTAACCAGCGTCATCAATAGGGGCCCCATTGATACCACTTGCAGTTCCAGAATTACTTTGGTAAGCCTCTTTGCTTCAGAGGATTCCATATCTACTTCGGTATTGTTAGGAGGTCGTGGGTCTTGTCGCGACTTCCCTCATAGTTATTAGAGGCTTCATAGATAGTAGTGGTTTGAAAAGTCTGTTTCATTTTCAATTGTTAATGTTCAAGACCCGAGTTGCCTCTTTTTGCCAGTTGAATGTTTTTTCTAAATATTTTGAGTTTTGTATTTGAGACAATTGAGTTAAATCCTTGCAATTGAGTTCCTATATTGTTGAGTATGTCTTCCGCTGAGTATTGAGTCAGGCCAAGGATTCTCATGAGGACCAGCAATGGTTCTCGAGTGTCAGCCACGCCCAGGATATAGGCTCGGGGTGTGATGATATGCAATCTATATTTTATCATTATGCATTTTTAGTTTCTATTTTTTTTCACATTTTTGCAAAGGAGGAAAAAGGATGGAATATGATAACTTTGGGGATAATGTTGCTACAGATTGGGGTAACGATGTTGTAGAATTTCCATTTAAGTCTTCTAAGTCTCCTATATTGGAAGTTCATGAAGATATTCAATCATTGAAGGCTGATGAATGTATTGATGGTGAGACATCCAAAAATTTAAAAGGTGAGACAAGTGTTGAACAAGATTCTGATGTTGGTTCTAGTTTTCTTTTAATGCGTACATCTGTTATTGATGTTATTGAAGAGGAATAATATAGGATAAAAGCAGTTGCTTTGTTTGCAAAAGATCAAGATTATTTTGATGGTTTGTTTGGTGATATTGGTGACACTCAACTAGCATTTATTTCCTATCATGACCAAAAACCGGACGTGATGGTAATTGTCTATTTCCATCAAGATAAGTTAGCCTCAACCTAACGAAAAGAAAGAAAATGCAGAAAACAGTAAAGCAAGAACAAGACAAAATTGAAACACTTTTTCATTCTAAACAATACCCCAAAACATGGTTGTCACGTGTACAAGCCACTAAAAAAAATACAGAATTCAAAGATAAATACAAGTCTCAGTCTTTGTTTTTCAAGTAGAACAAAATTTAAAGAAAAAACAAAAAAAAGTCCACCGGGATGACAAGCAACTACCTCTTAAATCCTTTACGAGCCTCAACTGTCAGGAGAAGAAAAAAAAAATCACACGAGTCTAGGCTCAGAACCTACACACATGTAGAAGTATGGGGTGAGTACCAACAACACGGTACCAACAAAAAATCTACTAAACAAAACAACTAGTTAGAAAATGAATACCCCTTACGATTAAACCAAACCTTCTCAAATTACAACCTACAAAAAAATCAACCCAACCTAGCAATTCTACAATACACGACTCACATGCCCAATATTCATAGTTCAATCTTCACAATTCAACAATCAACAAATCAAATAAGTCAATCTCAATGACAAGTAGTTCTGTTACATATAACAAGTACACCAATCACAATCAACAAGCAAGCCATGCATTGCCATGGCTGTTTGTAGCTTGGGGCATGGATGTCATTGGTCCAATAAAGCCAGATGCCTCCAAACGGACACAGATTCATTTTGGTTGCCACTGACTACTTCACCAAGTGGGTGAAAGCAGCTTCTTATAAGTCGGTAGCTAAGAAAGTTGCACTTGATTTTGTTCGCAACAATTTGATATGTAGGTTTGGGGTACCAGAATCCATCATTACTGATAATGGAGCGAATCTCAACAGTCATCTGATGAGAGAGATATGTGAATAATTCAAGATTACTCACTGAAACTCAACCGCCTATCTTCCCCAAATGAATGGAGTTGTAGAAGCCGCCAACAAGAACATCAAGAAGATTTTGAGGAAAATGATTGATAATTATCAAGGTTGGCATGAGATGTTGTCATATGCTTTGTTGGGTTACCGAACGACTGTCAGAACATCAGTTGGAGCTACTCCATATTTGCTAGTATATGGAACAGAAGCAGTTATACCTGCAGAAGTTGAAATACCTTTATTGAGAATCATCCAAGAAGATGAATTGAATGATGCTGAATGGGTTCGCAAGCGGATTGATCAATTAACATTGATTGATGAGAAGAGAATGGTTGATGTTTGTCATGGACAACTGTATCGACAAAGAATGATTCGTGCTTTCCACAAGAAAGTAAGAGCCAGGATATTTGAAATCGGCCAGTTGGTTTTCAGACGTATTTTCCCTCATCAGCATGAGTACAAAGAGAAATTCGCACCAAATTGGCAAGGACTCTACATGGTTCGCAAAGTGTTATCTAGAGGTGTCTTGGTTCTGTCAGAGATGGATGGCACCGAATGGCCGAAACCGATCAACTCAAATGTTGTCAAGAGATATTATAATCTGTGAAGTTTCAGTTTGTATTTCTGTCGTTCCTTTGTAATCATTTATTTGCTTGTAATCGCTTTGTTTAGAATTTAATCCCTCTTGTAATAAACTACGTCTGACCTGAATTCTCAAGAATGAGATACGTAGGCGGCTTATGTCGGCCTCGGTCACTCTTTTATCCCCTTTTAATATTTCTTTGTATTTGAACTACGTTTGACCTGAATTCTCAAGAATGAGATACTAGGTGGCCTATGTCGGCCTCAATCGGTTTCTTTGTAAATTTCCTAATTTGTTAATCCTTGAGAGGGGGAACTACGTTTGACCTGATTCCTGCCTCAACAGGATATGTAGGCGCCACAAGGGCTCGGTCATGTCTCCCGTAAGATTTCTATTTTTCCTTATAATAAAAACTGGGACAGAATTTTGAGAGGGACTCCAAAATTCTCAAGAAGAAGATTTACTCCAACAAGTCAAGACAGAAGATACTTTGAAATTTGCGATTGGGACAGAATTTTTGAGAGGATCTCAAAAATTCCGTGACTTGATCACCAACGGTTAAAGATAAGCCAAAACAGTTAACTGGGACAGAAATTTTTTAGGATGACCTCAAAAATTTCAATAGGATTTATCGGCAGTTTAGAGCAACTTTGAATACTTCCCAACAAGTAATCAGATAAACGTCGAGACATCAAATCCAAATGGCGTTCATCAAGGTTGACGCTACATGACACTTGGCAGTGACCTTTTCCAAACGTTACTTTTAAAAATCTATTTTTCTTAAAAACGTTTCCCTCATGTTTCAATTATTTTTGCATAAAAATATTTTGTCTTATCTATTAAGAAGCGGGAGATCGGAGAAATCAGCCGGAGATAACCAGATAAGGAGCAGATAACCCAAGGAATCGACACAGATCAGTTCACTTTAAACTAATAATTTTTCTGTGGATGCCAGAAAGGTTTTGTGCTTCTTATACCAAAGAATTGAGAATATGCGTAGCATTATTTCATTCAAATTCTCAACAAAGCGAGGATCATAATGAACATTGCAACAATGTTCAGAGATGGAACAAATGAAAATCGCGAAAAGAGCAATATTATTATTTTCCAGCAACTAAAGATACATGAAAGACATTTATCTACATTATATTATCAGATATGATAATATTCTTACCCGGAGAGTCATTTATATCATATTGTCAAATGAGATAATACCACTATCCCGAGGGTCATTATTTATATTATCGATTGAGACGATACCGCCATCCAAAAGATACACGGGAGATCACCTATGTTGCTCGGTGAAACATTATCTTCGTTCAGTATCAGAGAGGCATTATCAAAGGAAATCATGCATAGCAAGAGAAAGAAGTCATGCATAGCAAGAGAAGGAAATCATGCATCGCGGGAAGAGATTCATGTGTCGCGGGGAAAAGATCATACATCGTAGGAAAGAGATTAATGTATTGCAAGAGAAAGAATTCATGCATTGCAGAATAGATTCATGCATTGCGGGAAAACAATCATGCATCGCGGGAAAGAGATTTATGCATTGTAAGAGAAATAAATCATGCATCGCAAGAGAAAGAAGTCATGCATTGCAAGAAGATAAATCATGCATCGCAAGAGAAAGAATGTCATGCATTGCAAGAGAAAGAAGTCATGCATTGCAAGAAGAAAAAAATCAGGCACTGCAAGAGAAAGAAGTCATTCATTGCAAGAGAAAGAGTCATGCATCGCAAGAGAAAGAGGTCATGCATCGCAGGAAAAAAGATTCACGCATCGCAAGGAAGGAAACCATGCATCGTGAGAAATCAACATCGATTGCATCATTGTCATTTGCAAGAATATTTTAAGAGAACCGTCAACAACGACGTCAAGAGAAACTATCAACATATTACATCAACCTACTTTATTGCTTCGACGTCAAAAGAAGAGTGAATTGAAGATTATATTACAAATATAATGTACAAGCTTTATTTACTTTACGTCAAATTCGATAAAGTTGACGTCAATGTTCAAAGAGAGAAATTAAGTGTCGACACGATAAAAGACACTATATCTCCATTTGAATTGCATTTTTATGCTAATGAGTTTTATCTCAATCTTTGTCGAGAGCATCCGAGAGGATGAATTCTCAAAACAAACTACATGTGAGGACGACATCAAAAAGGATGCAGCACAACGTGGAACTTTTTCTTAGCAGCGAACTGGGATATAGTTCAAAGAGGAGTGCCATACTCTTAGAACGCGAGCAGAGGATCGACTTCCACCACAATCAAACCACACCCCTATCAGAAGGCATGTGGGTTTATCTTTGGGTTTATCAGTTCCAGTTTCGCATCCGAAAATTTTTGGTTTCTACCGAAAGCAGCTTTCCAATCTGAGTGACAATGCACCAAGAGATTTGGAAATTATGTCCGTGTAAGTTCTTAATTATGGGTGTGGAGCGCGCCACATTCATGGTTAAGAGGTTACAAGCCTCCTTTTCATACTCAATTTATTTCTGTCACTCTTCTCGAACCGAATGATATCTTAGCATAAGAGATTTCCTTTTCAACCGATTGAGTCGAACTATAAGCAACCTGATTCCTTAAGTTAAGGGATATGTAGGCGGGATCAATGTTGAAACTCGGCTGTATTCCAACATTCGCTCTTAAATCTTATTCCCGAGCATTCTGATGCCTTCATAATTCGGTATCATGATGGCTTTTGAATTCTTTCAAAATCGTATGTGAAAATCAAGCGTATCGAACTACAAGTGGCCCGAATTCTCATATAGCCTGAGATATGTAGGAAATCCATTTTTTGGGATTCGGCCATAATTCTTAAAGTCCGTACCAAATCCCTTTCCAAAGATGGAGATATGGTCGATCAAAATTGGATCTGTCAATTTCATTTTTCTCGAATTTCTTGCATCAATCCAAGTAAAATAAGGGACAATTGTTGACACTCAATTTTGACTCTCCCCGATAATAATTAATTTTCGAGCTTCTTAATTTCTAAACATTTCTAGAATAATTAGCTTTATAAAATCCAAATAGTTTCAAGGTTAGTTAAATAATTCCAGTCGATTTTTATGGTACTTTGAATAATAAATATATTTCATATAATTATATACGTAATGAGTATATTTTATAAGTGTTTGAAAATCATATCAAAGATTTTTGCTTTGCTAAAATAAATGTTTTATTAATTTAGTTTTAGTTTGAATTATGGATTTTGATTTTGAATTAATTAGTTTATGTGAAAATCGATTAATTTATAATTAAGCTAATTATTCTATCTCGTTAAGATTAAAAAGCTCATAAGTTATAATTAAGCTAATTATTCTATACACGGCGATACACGAAAAAGCGCGCAGAAGGCGGTACACTGCCTCTTATTGTCTTCTTCCTCCTGTCCCTTTTTAAATCCCGATCGCATCAGCAAAGGGGGACGCGGAATCGTCCTTGTCAACTCGAGATGAGTCCACGTTAAAGCCCCAAGGACTATTGATCAATCCCAAGCGTCGATTCACCCTTTCCTCTTTCAGAATAGGCTGAAATCGCAGGAAAGAGGTTGTCTTCCTTAAAGGGTGAAAGATTTTGATTTTTGAAATAAAAATGGGCTTTGTATCATCCGAATTTTCATTCCTTTCCCCCCATTTTTGAACCCTAGTTTCTCCCCCTATAAATATCTCATCCTCTCCACTGTGAAAGGGGCGGAAATTTTGAGTTAGAAAAAAGCTAGAAAGAAAAGTTGAGAAATAGAGTTTTGAGAGAGGTATACTCAGGCAGAAAACAAATATTAAAAATTAGCCAACATTAAAAGGGGAAAAACATACTCAAACCATAGTTTTCGAAGGCACAAAGAGACGAGAAACCTCGATTTCACTCAGTCTTTGATACCATATGATTTTGCCTGTTCATCCAAGTTCTTGGAATCGCATTTTGGTGGTGTCAGAAAAAGTTCGTTGTCTCTGCCCATTTGTCTTCAGTTCAGTTGCCTGGAGAAAGGTAATAGTTCCTCATTCACCTATGTTTTATTTCAATTCTAATCGTTATGCAATGAGCCTATCTCTGTTGATTTGAATATGAATATTCGTTGCCTTTACTGTTAGAATCTCTGGTTGACTTTCGTTATATTCATGCTCTGTCTCATCCCAAGTTTCAAATCGGGTCATCGTTTTCTTTTCTATCTAGAGTATTAACCTATATGTCATTTTGAACTATGTATTCACCCTGGTTTAACTGTTGTGTCTCTTTGTTCTTAAACATCAGTGAGGTCTTCATGATAGCTTAGGTTGGTCTTTAGAGTCATTAATTTGATTTTATTTTTATTTATTTATTTAGCAAGTTGAACCTATCTTTGGTTCTGTTCGAGCAGTTTACTGCCTATCCGATTTTATTTTTGAATTCGACAGGCTGTCTTGAGGCTATTGTTGCAATGCATTATTTTACTCAAGTCCATCCTTTCTATGTTTTAGTGGTAATCTTTTGCCTCTGTCTGATCTGAAAGTATCAACATCTTGGGCATGACATTTTGTTTTAGCATAGTTTTGTTTTTACTACTTAACAATACCCTCACCATGTTTAGTTGTTTGAATATAACGACAATTTCTCCTAAAATGATTTGGCCTGCTGCTATCTTTAAAATTTGTGACCTTCAAGCATGATAAGTTACCCTCATTAGGCTATATCAGCATATTTTTATTTTATTTTATTTTTATAGTATGAGGTGTGTAACTTGTTGATTATGGAATATGATTTTTCTATGGACATTTTGAATCACTGTTGATTATTGGCTAAGCATTAATTTGTTCTTGTTTTCCCCTTTTAGATTTTGTTGCTCATAAGCGTCTGCTCGTTACCATTAAGTGTCCTAGTACTGTTTTGTCCATTTTGTCATCTGTTAGGTTGATTTAGTTGTGTCTCTCTCAAAATCACCTGTTACTTTTGGGTCCAGTAGTTGAAATGGTAGTATTCTCAGTTTTGATTTTTCAAGTGGCTTTCATTTCAATCGAATTACGTCTTATTTAAGTT